TTTTGGGGACACTATACTAATGTTAACGCTGGTATAGTGCTGATCTAATCAAAGATATTGATCCGTTCAGACACTATACTAGCAATGGAGGTTTATTGTGTATGTGAACGTGTTCCTGGCAATCAAGGGGTTAAATGTGATTACTACTGTACTGACGGGCAATCTGACGCTATCTGGTAGGGGAGCTAACTCACGCTAACGCTATCTGAAGTTGCCAGCGGCACTAATACAGTGATCAGCAAAAAATCTACACTGTAAATGACACTGATGACAGTGCAGTGAAGGGGTTAACTGGGGGCACGATCATGGGGTTAAATGTGTCCTAGAGTCTTCTAACTGTGTAAGTGTAGTGCTTTTACTCACATTTGTTCTTGATTCTTCTCAGTCTCTGGGATGGAATGTGCCCAGAGAGAGATGTCATCATTTCCTGTACCTGTGTAACTGTAAACCCAGGTGCAGGAAGATCCCTGATAGGACAGTGATCGATCATCCGACTTAGGCCAGACATCACTGGCCTAAATCGGATGATTGATCCCTCGGGGATCAAATCACGGCACCCGATGCCGGAGTGGATACATAGAGACCAGGTGGGGTTTGTCTCAGGAAGAGAGGGCAGAGATAATGCTTTGAGATCATTGTTGCTTATACAGGAGGGTAAAAAAGGGAAAACTCCAATGATACTGATGTCGATAGATGCTGAGAAGGCATTTGACAGAGTAAGTTGGGGTTTTATGATGGACACGCTGGAAGCGTTAGGAATAGGAGATAGAATGAGAGGGTGGATTGGAGAATTGTATAGAGGGCCTACCGCTACCATAATGGTAAATGGAGGAAGATCAGAGTATTTTAAAATGTCAAATGGCACAAGACAGGGATGTCCATTGTCTCCATTGTTATGTGTTATCACTGGAGCCCTTACTGTCCATAATTAGGAAGAACATAGACATAAAAGGAATAAAGATAGGTGATAGAGAACATAAGGTAGTGGCATATGCGGATGATTTGATGTTTTATGTTGGAGACCCTAGAACAGCACTTCCAAATTTAATGAAAGCATTGAGAGAGTATGGAGACCTGTCGAATCTAAAAATTAACCCGACAAAGACTGAAATCTTAAACATAAACCTCAAAAACAGCGAAAAAGAAAAATTACAAGAGGAATTCCCCTTCCTTTGGAGAGATAAAGAACTAAAATACCTAGGAATAAAACTATCAGCCTCAATTAAGAACCTATATAAAGCAAATTATATAACATTATTAAATGAGATTAAGGAGGAGCTGAGGAGAGTAGGAAATGGAAATCCATCATGGATAGGTCGTATAAATTTGATAAAGATGGTAATTGTCCCCAAAGTATTATACAGATTTCAAATGATCCCAATCAAACTCCCAGAGGCATACTTTAAAGAACTTAGGAAAATGATAATAAAATGTATATGGAGGAATAAAAAACCTAGAATAGGTTATGAAACGTTGACTAGAAGTAAAGAAGAGGAGGATTGGGGGTGCCAGACTTCAGGAGATATTACAAAGCGGGGATAATTGCGAGAATTTTTGACTGGATTCATAATCCAGAGAAAAACTGGGTTAAAATAGAGACAGCACTGAGTGGAATAAGTTTAAGTAAAAGTATTTGGGTACCTGCACAATATAGGGAATTAGAGGAGAGCACTAGCACATACACTCTTAATGTTTTAAAAGAATGGGATTTATTACACAGACAAAAGGGGTAGGATTTTAACTCACAATTAATACCACTTAGAAACACAAATTTTTTTATCCCGGGTAAGGAGAGTATAGCAGGGAAATGGATTATAAAACAGGAGGCGCAATTGAGCGATATAATGGTAGGAGAGGAAATAGGGTCATATAAGGACATGGAGGAAAAAAAGGGTGAAGTCTTTAATAAGATGGATAGACTAAGATATTACCAACTGAAGTACTTTTTTGAAAGTCTTCCAAAGCCTATAAGAACTAGAAAAGATTGGAATCATTTGAGAGAATATTTGAATCACGGGGAAATGGTAGACATGGAATGGCAAAAATACACAAGATATTAATGGAACTTGACACAGACACAAAATTAACGCACATAGAGAAATGGGAAAGAGATATGGGGAGAAAATAGAGGAGGAGGAGCAGAGGAAAATGTTCACATTAATTCACGAAAATATTAGTATGACGGAAGTAGAAATAAATTTTAAGTGTTTGAATAGATGGCATATTACCCCCAACGTGGAGCACAAGGTGAACATGGAAATATCACGGATGTGTTGGAGAGGTTTGTGGAGAGGAGGGCACGTGGTATCATATCTGGTGGGAGTGTCCAGAAATACAGGTGTTCTGGTGGAGGATAGTTTGATAGGGAAAATCACTACAATTAATATAGGATTAGATCCAGAATTATGTCTCCTCCATATCTCCAGAACTCTCGGTGAAAACATATAAGAGTTCCGGGATATGACATTACTTGACCGCAGCAAAGAGTCTGATACCCAGGTTCTGGAAGAAAAGAGAGGTGCCAACTGAGGAGCAATGGATGGCTAGAGTAAATCAGATCTCTGGGACAGAAAGATTGTATTATACGCACGAGGACAAGTTGGAGTTGTATAAAAAAAAATGGAAAGGCTGGGAAGAATACAGAGAAAAAGTGAAATATATGAAGAGATAATATTCCTGGAAGTCGGCTTAGAACTGAGATTTAGGAACAACAAAAATAATATGGAGTTAACGAGAGTAAAGAGAATGTTGAGCGTGGGAGGGGGTGGAGGAATAGGGGGGTGGAGGGGGGGGGAGTAGGGGAGGGGGGGGAGAAAAGAAAGTTATATACAGGGATAATTTATGTAAGAAGAGAAAAAGTTTGTAATAATTATTTTAATAGAAATGTTGAAATGTTTTTTATATGAATTGGAAAATTAATAAATATTTATAAAAAAAAAAAAAATCACGGCACCCGTCAGTTGGTGGGGGTGCGCGGGCCGAAAGCGAGATCATATATGTATGTGATTTTGCACACCCGTGCCGCCCTGTAGCAGTGTTTCTGCTATAGGGCGGTCCTTAAGCTGTTAAGAAATTTCAGAGTTTAGAGGGACCCTTCCCTCAAGAGAGGCAAACTGCTTCACACACGATACCTAGCCTACTACACTTAACCCCTTTACTGCTACACAGCTTCACACACCAGACCTATCCCACTACTCTAAACCCCTTCACTGCTACACAGCATGCACAGCTTCACATTGTGTGAAGATCTGTGTCGGAATCAGGAAAAATGAGCCGAGCTGTCACTCAGCTCCTTAAATGTCGGACAACAAGACAGGCGCTTTAGTGGTCGGCATTCAGAAGCTCGAGCACCGTCACAGCTGAGCGGGGGCACAGTTCATCATTATTAACAGTGCTGATCCCCAGGAATACACGGGGGGGGGGGGGGGGGTTCAGGATTGCACAACAGCTCTAGCACCCCAAGCCTGTGTTGTAGTCTGGCATGTAAGGAGTTAAGTGACTTCCGGTACCTCTTCGGCCTTAGCTTGTTGTTTGGATGCTCCACATATGCTTGCATTGAGCACCCAAGTGCTTCCCTGTGCAAGGATAACCTGAAGGAATACTTTTTTTTTTTTTTTTTTCACTGGGGTCTCATTTACTCGATCAGCATATGCTCTTCTCCTGAGCTAGCTCGACACTCCCCTTTTGATGATGAGAACCCAATCCGTGCTCTTCACACTTCAAAGTCTACACCCCGCCCCGCTAGTCCCTGAGTGCAGTGATAGAGACAGGCAGGGAGGTGTATATAATTTTTTTTTTTATCAGGACAAGTAGATTGGGACCCTTATTTAGTCCCTGGGAAAATCATTTTAAAAAAAATTTCCACACCCCTGAGGCCTAAGGCACTTTATTTAGGAAAAATTGAAGGATAATAGTAACCTTTTTAGTTCATAGTAACTTTGCTAGTAGTAGTAATTATATGGGTTTTGATGCAGATGTACTTGTATAAGTTTTACCCGTGTACTATTGAGGAGATTTCACGTCCCATCCCTCTATACTTGTTCCAGTGAAAACTTAAAATTTCGAGATTGCTACCACTTCCACTCCTGGTGACAACAGTCACGAAGACAAATCTAGAGCATGAATGTTCCTGGCTAGGTCACAGACAAAACAAAACAAACAAAAAATGTTGCTATGAACGCATTTCCATTTTCTAAAAAAAACAAAAAAAATGGTTTTGGCTTTAGATCAACTTTGCATTATGTTTTTTTTTTGAGGAATTCTCACTCACTCTGGTGAGTGACTATTCTAGGCCACCAAATGACTTGATTCATAAAGCTCAAGTTTTGACAAAACATTAAATTTTTCACAAAATATTTAAAGGTGCAATCTCAACTCCACGTTATAAACTGAAGCAGGGTAGAGATTTGCATCTTCTCAAATAAGAACTCAAACAGCATGGCTATTAAGTGTGAGATTTTCAGATTTTTGAAATAGTTTTTGAAATGGCATTTGCATTATATTTATTATGTGGAAATGGGAGTTTAATATTTTGAAGTGGCTTGGTAGGGTAATAAACCTATAACCATACAAAAAGTAAAAAGAATACTTAATCTGTTGAAATAAAGTGTGTGATTTTTTTTTTTTTTTTTTTTTTGCCTCTCAATTATGTTGGCTTTTGTGTGTATGCATTGCCTTTTACCTTACTATGTAATTTTTTTTGAGCGAGTTCCATTCACAGCATAGCAAATGAATCTGAGGCCCCTTTTGAGGGTTACTAAATCCAATAGTGAGATTGGCATTCCGAGTCATGTTTTGTTTGCTTGGAAGATTTTCTGACACTGTGCATAGCTTAAAATTAACCCTTCATCCAGAACTACATTTAATACGCTGCAGTGAATTTAACTCCTCTTAAATGGAACATGGTTACAGGTAAGGGCCATTTATGTACGCAGGCTTGAATAACGTAATGTATTTTAGCTGTTATAATTTCATGCATTTTTGCATTTTTTGTTTGGCAGGGCTCGAGCCATAAGATATCGACAGGACGGCAGTGAAGCTGTGGCTGGCTTTTTCTCACAGATTGGACAACTGTACATGGTTCACCATTTGTGGGGTAAAGATGTTTTTCATCAATGAAAGTACAACTAAAGGCTGTATGATAGTCCAAACAAATTCAATAACTGTAGTGCACAAACCCCATAAAGTAAAAAACTTATTTACCTCTCAGGACTGAGCCAATTTCCCCTTCAAGACACTGCAGCTCACATTGGGAGAATTTTAGAAACACCGCATCAGACAACAATTAAAAACCTGACTGAGACTCCAAATATCACCCCATTTAAATAATTGTTTAACTCTTCAAAACTTAAATTCAAAATATACCAAAAAGTAAAAAATGGTTATTCCAATCAGTATTCCTTTTAAAAGGAATACCATGTAATTTTTACTATACTGCAGGTATTCTTACTGGCTGTTAGATCAATAAAATATTCTTGGGGTGATGCAAGAAACCCAGCAGAACCCTAAAAATGAACAGGGAGCTAAGTTTAAAGTCCACTATTACACCAGAATAAGGCGTGGATCACAGTACCCAAAATATAACTATAAAACAAGATAAAGGGAAAGAAGCCCTAGGAAAGAAGGTAACTATCGTGATCCAAGTAGTTTGACTAAGTAGCAAGTTTTATTACAGAACGATGAAAAAAATCAACAGAATGAAAAAGATTTTCCAGTACAAAAATATACGCCTCCATCCATCACCATTAAAAGTTTGACAACGTTGTCAAATAAAACCGGACTGACTTAAGGGAGATGTTTGATTATCGGCAATATCATGTCTTGTATCATAAACCTCTCCTGAAAACTGAGCATAAAGGGATTAAACAATGCATCAACTTGAAAGGAGGAAAATGATACGACCTGAGGATGCTCCTCACATAAAAATGCAAAACAGCTGATTATAATGTATCCAAAGAGTAATAATAAAGCAAAGGGAAGACTTGAGAATGGCCGGAGCAAGATTAAAGGCCGGATGAATGCGTTGACAAGCAGCTGTTTGCTGATGGAAGTATCAAGCCAACACACATATATTATGACCCTTAACTTAACCCATATGCAGTGCTGTAAATGGCTTTGATGATATAGAGCGCATACATAAGATGTCGCTTAAATCCAGTATGAGGTAAAGATGGTCCTGACGATTAATTTGCAGGTGTCGCACTCTCAGCAATATGGACCCAGATGGAAAAGACTGAGGAGAGACTTGATAAAGTAATATCCACATGATGGCATACTGATTGCAAGTTCACTCAGAGCCACACACTGAAGTAGCTTAATACTGCCTCCCTGTGAGCATGAATTAACTCCTAGACAGTTTAAACAGTACTTGTCACCTGTCAGATGTAGCCTTCTGGCATTACAGAGTCTGTATCTCCAACTCCCATGCAGATAGCCTCAAAGTTCAGATACCGCCAGGTGGATGCAGCGTCTTTCCATGGCCAGAGCACCCGCTCTTCTTGCCAGTCTCGCATCGCTTCCTCCGTTGAAGCGTGGGATCCACACATGCGCAGAAAGGGCTTTACAGTACTCAGCCTTGCTTTACCGCCATTTCATGACAGTACTCGCTAGACATTGTCACAGTACCAAGGACCCCATGATTGTGGAAGCTACTGTCAATGCATTTTGCCCGCTTGTTTAGACGCAGACCTCCTCAAGATCTGTAGGAGGCGCCAACCTGACTTTAATTTATAGACTTTGCTAATCACAGGCAACATTTCAAGCAGTAGGTGGCACCAATGTTGGATAAACATGATAAGACAATCCATGCTGTTCCAAATATTAACCATTTTCCCTCCTCAGGATCTATACCCCTTCCTGACCAGGCCAGTTTTTGCGTTATGGCCTGCATTACTTTAACTGACGATTGCGTAGTCATGCAACGCTGCACCCAAATTAAATTTACATCCTTTATTTCCCACAAATTGAGCTTTCTTTCTGTGGCATTTGATCGCCTGTGCTTTTTTTTATTTTTTGCGCTATAAAAAAAAAAATAGACCGACAATTTTGAAAAAAATTTTGACTTTATGCTATTAAACATGTCCAGTAATAAAATTTAAAAAATCTAATTTTATCATAAAATTAGGCTAAAATGTATTCTGTTACATGTCTTTGCTAAAAAAAAAAACAAAATCCCAATATGAGTAAATTAATTGGCTTACGTGAGTGTTATATGTATGTACTGTATTTGTGTGTGTGTGTATATATTTGTGTGTGTGATTTTGCGCAGCCGTGCCACCCTGTAGCGTATTTCTACTATAGGGCGGGCGCAGAAGAGGTTCATTGACAGTGTTGTTAAACTTCTAATGGTGATGGGCAATTTTGAGTAATTTTGTACTGGAAAATCTTTTTTTTTTTTTTTTTTTTTTTTTTTTATGTTTCTGTAATAAAATTTGCTACTTGGTCAGACTACTTGGATCACAATAATTACCTTCTTTCCTAGGGCTTCTTTCCCTTTATCTTTTTTTATTCTACTGGCTGGCATATCCACTTTTTGCTTTGTATCTTTTGAATTTAGGTTTTGTAGAGTTAGACAATGGTCTAAGTGGGATGGTGTGTAAGTCTCAGCCGGTTTTTATTGTTGTCTAATGCTTTAAAGATTGTATCTTGGCGATAGCTCTACTCCTTAAATAGTCGATTAACTACTTTGAGGTACCTTGAGGACTTTAATAGATGGTTTGGATTTCAGTAATACAGCCAGTACTATCAATCCAGAAAGCAGTGTGCAAGACTAGGAGTGGTCTAGTGCTGATTGAGAGACTACAAATCCTGAGGAATCAGCACTGACAGTGCTGATAGCCACGCCCCCTGCAACATTTTTTATCATCTTACTGCACTGCAAGCAGGCATAGCCTACATGAGGGTGGGATAGTTGTGAACCTTTACAGACAGATTGGGGAAGAGAAAAGAAGTACAGATGCACCTGTAATTAAAAGTGCTGCATTTTGTAAATTGGAGGCCATGATACTACTTTAAGCCAAACTACAGTATTGTCATGCCATTTTTGTATATTGCTTTCAGAGATCCTTAACGTTGCTGTAAAGGCTGAATTTTATTTTTACCTTCATGCATACTATGCATGAAGGTAAAAAACGTGAGCGCAGCGCGTGCGTGCGTGTGTGTGTGTGTATCTTGGCCTTCTTTGATAAGTGATTAAATTTGCTAGTGTAATAATTCAGTTATGTGTTTAGAACATTGCTGCAGTTTTTTTCTTACCTGTTAATAATTTCTTTATAGCTTACAAAGACTTACAGAGCAGGGATGACATTAGAAATTCAGCCTGGCAGAAAGATGGTTGGGATGAATGTGTCTACTATACAGGTAAGAGATGAAAAACACAAAATACTTTGGGGCTGATTAACTAAAGGCAAATATATTGTGCACTACAAGTTTTTTTGTTCCTTTAATTAAATTTTGTTTCTTTCATCATTACAATTGTTATATTACTGTGAACCTACAATACGAAACCCCCTTTAGGAAGTACATGTCCTCAGGTTGAAGTGGCTGTACTGCTCTACTGCCGCCTGATCACTTCTACAGGGCTGTCCCTTGTGATCAGGGAACTTTGGACCGCTGCCATTTTATTCAGTAGTGAACTAAGAGGGGAGGAAGATATATCTGTACACATCTCCTCTCTGTGATGTAAGAAATGTTTCAGTTTAATGTTTACAAGCCTTTGCTGGCCTGTAAAGCATCTGACCAACCTGATCTCTGTTTGATCTTTTGAGGGCAGAGGAGAGATCATGGGCCTAATAGACCCCAGATATCTCAGTAAAGAGTACCTGTCTTTGCCCAAGCTATCACAAGAGATGTTGTTCTCCCCTTGTGCCAGCAATAAAGTTGATAAACAATTAGAGGCACAGTGTAAAAACGTATTAAATAAATAAAATGTGTAACAAAAAAAATTATAATAAACTGCCCCCATTCCCCACATGGTCAAGAAGATGCATATGTGGGCTGTGCACATGTGTAAACAGTGATTGCACCACACGTGTGAGATATTGTCAGGAAAGTCAGAGTGAGAGCAATAATTCTAATGCCAGACCACCTGTTTAACTCTAAACTGGAAACCTGTAAAGGCTTTTAAAGTGTTGCAAGTGGAGATATTAAGTACTGTAGTTTGTCACCATTCCACAGGCATGTGCAATTTCAAAGTGTGACGTCTTATGTATCTATTTACTCAGCATAACATCATCCTTTATATTTTACCAAAAAAATATTGGGGGGATCTAAGTCATTTTCTAGCAAAAAAAGTACTGCTTTGTACATGTATGTGAGAAATGTCAGAATTTACCAAGTTGGTCAAGTGGTTAAAGTGGAATTCAAATGACGGCTCCCCAGGGTTGGGCTGTAATGTGCAAGTATGCACGGCATATTTACACATTATGGCAGACTTATCTGTTGCTTCTGATACCTTCGCCTGAATCTCTTCTGGGTTCGCCTCCTTGATCGGCCATCCTTGGATGACGCAACTTCATTAGATAAAAGACAATAGAGGCCTCAGAAAGGAAATTCTCTATCATCTGCAAATTAGTGGATTTTTCCTGTTAATTTATGGAGAGTCTGTCTTGGCTGGTAATGAATCCTTGTGCCAAGACACACTCAGCCTGTCACAGCAGTGCTTGGTGTAAATCTACCCATCAGAATTCTGGATAGGAGTAAAAACCCTGCAGAAATATACACCCTGCCTCCATTCTACCTAGTAGATAGACAATTTGTCTAACTGATGAATACCTAAGCACTTTGAGGTTGCTTTGTATCCCTTTCCAGCCTTATGCAGAGCAACTACTGTTGATCGTATGTCTTCAGAGAGCTCTTTTTTGCTAGGTTGGTTAACACCGGCTCATGCTTCTTATGAACAGCAATCTTAAAATGTCTGAGTGTCTTTTATTAATCAAAGTTGTTCTAAACCACACCTCCAAATCATTCCATTATTTGGACTCGGGTATGCAAACTTTTGGCTTCAATGAGCTTTTGTTGAAGTAATTAGTTTATGGGCTCGCTTACTTTTCTCCATCACGGTGAATGTTTTTATTGGTGTTTTTCAATAAATACATGAGAAATTAGCATGGTCTGTGTGTTGTCCACCTAAGTACATTGTGTTTGTCTAATGTTGTGACTTGGATGGCAAATTAATGCAGAAAACCAGTGAATGCACATGCCGACTGCTCTGTGGTTGGACACAGTGCGATTATCTCAGCAGGTCTCAGCCAATAATTCATGGCTGAGACCTGTTAATTGGCTGTGTCCAATCACAGCACAGAGCCCTCGGTATACTGATTAGCAACCTGGATGTTTGTCCCTGCAAAGCAGGGAGAAAAAACAGCCACATAGAAAAGTGAAAATTAAAAGCCGCACACATTACACATTGGTATGCACACAGTTAACCACTTTATTGCCCCTAGATGTTAACCCCTTCCCAGCCAGTGTCATTAGTACAGTATTATCACTGGTCGCTGTATTAGTACCATTAGCGACATCAGTGTCCGTAACCTCAGCCAGTGTCTGTTAGTGCCAGATTACCTGCCACCCTGTCACAAACACACTAAGTCACTAATCACCGCCACTACAGTATAGCATCTATAACTGTGTAACTTCTAGTATATATACTATATTTTGTAGAAGCCATAGCATCATTTATATCCCAAAAAGTTAAACAGTGGTGGTCAAATACCACCAAAAGAAAGCTATATTTGTGTAAAAAAAAAAAAAGTTAAAAACCTAATTTACGTACAGTGTTGCATGACCACGTAATTGCCAGTAAAGTAGCACAGTGATGAATAGCAAATATGCTCCTGGTCATGAAGGGGGGTAAAATCTGGAGGTCAAGTGGATAAATACCACCAGCACTTTTTTGTGTGGTTACTGTAGAATACAAAAATTCCCTACCATGTCAAGGGACCTCTATAAAGCGTGGTCTCTACCCCAGAACTATTAGAAATAAAACGCAATGCATAACTTGATAGCAGGCTTACCTAGAGGTAGACCCCTACTCTTTAAAGGTACACCAACACACCAGAAGCCCAGGGAAACCCCACACACACTCAGGCCTGATTCAAACTGGTGAGATTTTCAGATGGGACTTAAGTTGCTCAGAATCGCATGACAGGGTAAATCACATTGTTTTCAATGGTGCCCATTCACATCAATGTGACTCAGAACAGTGATTATGGAAAGTTGGATCCAAGTAGCAATAAGAAATTGCACTGAAAGTCTGATCAAAATCATATTGCAGCAGCATGAACCTAGCCTCACACTCACACCTATGCATGTCTGCACCAAATCCAACAAAACAACAATGGGAGCCCCTGATCAATTTAAAAATAGCAAAAAAATTAATTTGTTGCGTTGTGACTATTTTTGCATTGTCCACACTCCACACTATTTTTCTATATGGGATTGTTCATTGTCCTGTTATTGAAAACTTTAATAAATACTTTAAAAGTAAAAACTGGCAAAAAAGGGAAAAGGTGCACTTGGGTACATCAATATACAACAATTCCCTAACACATAAAAACCTAACCTAACTGCTTTCGACAACTCATGTTAACTAGTGCCTGTATTATTTATAATGCCCTGCCAATCCTATTTTTGCTCGTTTTAAATTGATCAGAGTGGCTGCCATTGTTGCTCATCTGATGCAGATACAATGTGGGTGTATTTAGCTGCCCAGCGCAATGGGGGGTTTCCGGTGTGTGACTGTAACTTTGAGAGGGCTGCTGCCAGGTAAGCCTGCTCACAATTTATGCATTGCTATATTAATTTTTTACCTTGATTATCCTTTTCTTTGTCCCATATTCCAGTATGCATTATTGTCACCAAAGTGAGAGCAGTTACAATCTACTAATGTTATGTTTTTTTTAGTTCCTCTTATACAGGAGATGGAATCCAGAATTATGATCCCATTGAAAAGCTCTCCTCTACAGTAATCTACTATATCCTCCTGGTGCCTCAACTGACAAAATGTATCTGTGGACTACTTCAGCAATGAATGAACATATACAAACTCCCAAAACAGACATATTTCCGAGAATTATTAGTGCAGTTCATAATTCTTTGTGTGTTTATGTAGGCTGACCAGTTTTCATATCTATTTTCATTTCTCTATGACCATTGATCTGGTAATAACCACTTTCCATAGGGAGACCTGAAATGTACTGCATTGTTTGGTTATTTTTTTTCTTTGTCTGTAATAATAGCGTTGCTTGTCATTTCTCTGCCAACGAAAGCTCTTCTAAATTTACATTCGGGTACAGTCGTATACAGATATAAGAGGTAAAATTTCTAAATTATGGGAACTACTGAAATATCAAGTCACTTAAGGTGGAGGTGGATTAATGCTCAACCCATAGACATACTGTATATTTACATATAGCACACATTAGTATTGACTGATTTTATACAGTTCTGTGCATCAAATGCTACAGTATATTCCACACTGGAAGAACACAGTTCACCTCTAGGAAACAAAGAAAACAGATGTTTTCTATCTGTCCTGTTCACACTACAATAAAATGCAGACATGTTATCACAGCACAATGGACAGGATTGCATGTCACTGTACAGCAGTGCAGTGCAGAGCGCTGCTGTACAGTGACATGAATGAAGTGTCACTTTTGTGTACATCAAATAATGTTCATAGGAAAAAAAGGGAGCTGTGTGATGATCTGAAATGTGCATCACACGTTCCCCTACAGCTGATACACCTGAGCTGGAATGGAGCACTGCCTACACACTAAACCACTGCGGTGTAGTGTGTGGGGCAGTGTGAACTGGTCCAAAATGTATACAGACCCATTATGGCACCCAATGAAGTTCAGGGCTCGGATGTGTGCTGCCTCTACACAAATAACATAATTCTTCATGGTTAGTCATATATGCTTCAATTTTCTGTCTGTTGATTAGCCAATCATATAGCCAATAATGCTAGGTAATTGTGATTCATGAAATGTAGAGCAGGTGAATTGGCATAGTGAATCTTAATTAATCTCAGTACTGTTAGATTTTCTAATCCACAAATGGACAGCAAACTGATTCATTCATCTTTGCCTGTCATGGACCCATGCTGTAATTTACCAGACCCATGAGTAATCTCTGCAGTAAATATCAGAAGAGACAGAACTGGGCTGGTGTGTTCTCTGATAGGCGCTATAGCTACTGTTGGAGTTCACTTCAGAAGCTGTTGAGATCTTTCATGCACATACATATGTTCCCCAAGGCTCTGAACTTCAGTGTGCATTAAGCTGCCTCTGTGAAAATGCAGTCATGAATCTTTTATGCCGTAACTCATTTTTGCAGGTCAGTAATCAGGACTTTCCCACCTTCTTACCCTTCTGTTTTATAAGACCGATGTGGCAGCCAATAGAAGAGTAGTTCTGATAATGACATTATGGAAGCTAGTATACAAATCCTTTGCTGGTTGGATTAAACACTTACCGAATTTAACTTTTTAAAATGTTACTGAAAAAAAATGCCCAAAAGATTTCCTGTAGCATAACAAAGGGTCCCCTGATAACATACTACCTAAAATAACTTCAGGCAGACAACCGCATAAAACATCTGAGATACATGTATCTGAACAGCATTACCTGTCAAAAAGCACCTGCCTACTCACTGAACAATGTCTCTAAAGTGTGATGTGGCTAATACATTCTGCAGTAAACAGGCAGGTGACAGAGCACTGCTGTAAAGGAAAAAGCTATTTAATTTTATGCAGTATGGCAGGGGTACATAAATAACAAGATTGGCTCAGCCAGAATCACAAATCTCTAAGTAGATAAAGCATTACACCTATGAGTATTTCAACAGTATGTATAGTTGTTTGGCAGGTGTTCCTTTCTCATAAAAACTTTGGGGAAAAAAAATGCCTTCCAGGTCTTTCCAGTCTTCTGCATTGATACAGTTACGTTCTATTATTTTCTTTGCTCGGTCTTATTGTACTGTTCTTCCCATATTATTGCAACTGTAATGTTACAATTGATCAGCACATATTGTGTTTTTTTGTGCAATTAATATGTTGCCATTTTAATATTGTTACATAAAATATAAAGTGGAGTAAGGTTACAAACTCCTAGCCAAATACTTTTGGAACATGTGGCTTAATCTATGTGAAAATCATGCTCATCTTCATTATGGGGACTGTTTATTATTTGGTTTTGTTTAAAGTTGGTACTTTTGTTATTGTCTTGCGTTTGAAAATTACAGCAAAACTGGTGAATTACAGGCACTCCAGCAATAGCACAGTTCGTTCTCCGCTGTAGACTACAAAGTGATTTTCCAAAAGAATCTGGGTGTTTGCAGTAACTAAGATAAGACTGTATGCTATCATCAGGTGACTGGCCGGGAAAAACAAAAGAAAAAACTTTCTCTCGCTCAATGTAATGAGCATCATAAAATATATTTGTACACTGTTACAGTATGTCATCATGTGTATAAACATATGTTGGGTTTTCTGCTGAATGATGACAATAAAATAAATTTATTTGACATGATGATTTGAATTATTTTTCTGCTTTTACATACAATATAATTTAGGTAGCTAGATGCATAAAATGGGGGTGTTTATCAAAAATGCAGCAGACAGAATCTGGAGTGGCTGTGCATGGCAACCAATCAGCTTCTGTCCTCAGCTTGTTCAGTTGAGCTGTGAAAATGTCAGCTACAACCTGATTGGTTGCCATGAACAGCTGCTCCAGTTTTGATAAATTCCCCTCCTAGTGTTTTAAATAACGACATGCACATAGGAATGGAAATGCATTGCAAACATAACCTTGGCCTAACTAAACCTGTTTGTAACATTTTTAATTACAAAATATTACTCTCATTTTTACATTTTTGTGGAAGCCATACACTACTACAAGGTGCCTGTAATCCCCTGGTGCCCAATTGGAGTCCCCAGGGCTACATGTCACTCTTTGGCCCTTGGGTCCCTGCAGACAGTAGTCTGTGTTTTGTCTTGTCTAGGTCCTTACTCAGGCCCAGGGGCAGACTGACAACTCATGGGGGCCCCCGGGCAATAGGGGATTATGGGCCCCTGTGTCCTTGCCCAAACTCAAAAAAGCCTATGAATAAGGTACCAGGGACATCTCATGGGGCCCCCTACTGACCCCGGGCCCTCGGGCAGTGCCCAAATTTCCAAATGGTCAGTCTGCCCCTGCTAAGGCCAGTGATGAAAACATATTATTTAGACTGCTTTCTAGCAGGGTGTATTTCTTTTACAATATCTTCTATTTTTCTATGCTGTCCATCCCATTTTCTATTTTCATTTTTTTTTTTTTTTCAGGACATTTATAATAGATCACAAATACATTTTAACTGGGCTTTAGGCAACACAATTGGGAAGCATGGTTTTGTAAAAGGAGTGTAATAGTAGTGTAACATATTCCTGCCCCCTGTATCAAACAACTCAGAACTCAGCCACAGTCTGTGAGATTTCTATAGTATTACATTTAATAAATATTTTCTGTGGCCCTTTGATGTCAGAGGCTGCACTTGAGTGGACCCCCCCATATCAAGAAAGTTGAGCACCACTGCTCTAATCTATGAGTACCAATAGCGGGAATTGCAAATGATTAACCTCTTCCTGCCCAGCCATGATGTCCCTTTAACTGGGCTCTTACGCCCAGGTAGCAGGAAGGTCTGTATGGCTACTGTGACTGCTGTTACTGTATGGCTGTTACAGTGGTCACATGATTGAGAGTCCGCCCTGCTGACTCCTGATCATTGCTAGAGATGAGGAGCTGGCTTTGACAGCTTGGTCACTTTGCTGGGAGCACACAGTGAGCATGCTGTCAGCACAGAAGCCTCTGCATCATGGGCGCCTATGTGTAGCATGTGGGCACTAAAGCCCACCCTCTCTTGCCAAAGCACATATTCATTTCTTTGACAGTAAGAGGTTACAAAGACTGCAATAAGTAAGCATACTTTCAAAGTTGATGTTTGGCTTAAAAAAAAAAAAGTCTTTATGGGTTTAATAGGCTAACTTACCTGTAATGAACAATACCCAATGTTGTGTACAGTATGTAGCTGGATCCTGCAGAAATCTTCACTAAAGGGATGCTCCATCCACTTCCTGTCTCTAATCTTCCAGAGCTGCAGTGAAGCTGCTGTAAAAGAGTTCCCAATGAGGACCTGCCTCCTCCACCCCTTCTCTTCAATTGAGAAACATCATTTCATTGCTTTCACTGCCTGTAACACAATCTGTGAACAGAAGAATCTGATGAGTCACAGGATTGTCTTCCACATACACAGATCATGTTGCTTCCATCCATGGGATATGTAGTTAGAAAATGAAAGGTAACAGAGGACAAGCTGCAAAGCATGCAGGGAATCCAAAAAGTTGTGGAAAGAGGTGGCCAGCAGACAGAACACACAACATCAAAGGAGATTTTTCGAGTAAGTTTCTATTGTATTGTAAATAGAAGCGTGTTGCTCTTATTCTGTGATGTCAGATCCCCTTGAACTATCAGTTGATCCTGCCACTGACTCTTTTTTATTCTACCATTTTTCTATACCAGTGCAAGCTGTACAGCAAATATGGTAGTAACAGGTAGAAAAGCTATATAATACAGCTGGGGGTGTTTACAACTATCAGATTTTATTGATCTAGTTTAAACAGTTTTGCAAAAGAAAATAAAAACTGTTAAGCCCCATTCATACCAGGTCATTGTGGCACCACCCAGTTCATGCAATGCACTACCATGCATTTTAATGGAAATTTCAACACATCAGCACTGCATATCACCGTTGTGCATATTGGGGGACATTTATCAATCCTGTTGCAAGGCAAAACAATGCTAAACAGAAGCAGTGAGACAGATTTACAGCAAGGATACAGCTTAAAGTGGTTGTAAACCTCAGACATGAAATATGAACGAAGTATATCTTTCTATAGTGTGTACTTGTCTCAGGTGCATCAAGTGTCCTTTCT